ACATCTTATTTCTTCTGAACACACCATCTCACTGCATATTTCTAAGAAACAGCAAACCACATGTCTGTATTTTCATAATTCAAACTAAATTCCTCTGTAGGAGGAATGAAGGAGTGCTTAATGCACTGTGAGCTGTGCAGCTGCTGCAGAACCCAGACAACACTGATGACAATTTCATGCTATCAAATTTTCCTCATCTTTTTGAGCCCTGACTGAAGTGGAATCCCGCCCAAAAGCACAGGTGTATACACACACACACACACACACAAGCTAGGTGGATGGAGTAGCAGCTAAGCAGGTGCATGTGGCAGAGTAGCCAAAGATCTGCCACACTGATTATCAGTCAGGCTTAATACATATCTTTATTTTACATGCCTGAAAAGTGTGCCAAGAAAACATTCCCCACACCATTACACCACCACCACCAGCCTGAACTGCTGAGGGAGGTTGGGTCCATGAATTCATGCTGTGGAGGTCAAAATTCTGACCGTACCATGTGCATGTCACAGCAGAAACTGAGATTCATCAGACCAGGTGATGTTTTTCCAATCTTCAACTGTCCAGTTTCAGTGTGTCTGTGCCCACTATAGTCTCAGATTCCTGTTCTTGGCTGACAGGAGTGGAAGCCAATATGGTCTTCTGTTGTTGTAGCCCATCCACCTCAAAGTTTGACCTGTTGTGCATTCTGAGATGCTTTTCTGATCACCACAGTTGTAAAGAGTGGTTATTTGGGTTACCCTTATTGAGCTATTTTTATTATATTATCAATACTATTATTGAGCTAACCCTTGAGTCAGCCTTCCTGTCAGCTCAAACCAGTCTGGTCCTTCTCCTCTGATGGCTCTTATTTACATTTGCAAAGCTGACGCTCACTGGATGTTTTCTGTTTTTCACACCATTCTGTGTCTAGAGACTGTTGTGCGTGAAAATCACACACAACTAAACAGTCAGCATTTCAGAGATCAGCAGTTTCTGAAATTATTAAACCAGCCCATCTGGCAATAAATAGTCAGTCACTGAGATCACATTTTCCTAAATTTGATGTGAACATAAACTGAAGCCCTTGTACTGTATCGGCATGTTTTTATGCACTGCACTTCTGCCACGTTTCCCTGATTGGATAATTGGAGCAGGTGTACAGGTATTCCTAGAAGTATACTTCCCAGTTCAATCCCAGCCTCAGTGCTCCTGTATGTGTCACAGGTCAGTCAGTTTGTATCTGGAGTGATGGTGAAAATCTTCCCACACCCACATGAGGCCGGGAAACTGATCCATCTCATGAATTTTACCATGCTGTGCAAAAAAAGTACAACCATTTTGCTTAACATGCATTTAAATAGATGTTTCCAGACAAAGGAAATGGAATATTGAAATATGGCTACTGCCCAACACAGATCGTAAGCTGCACCAGTACTTTTTGGTTCTTGTTATTGATCTATCTCCAAGGCAAGCCTCCAAGCACATCTGAAGCGAGTGTGTTATGGATCTGGATGTGAAGAGAAAGCTTAATGTTGACGCTACAGTGAGAATGTGAGTTAAAAAGTGCTGACAGATGGTGTTGCTGAATCCATCTGATAGTGTTGTGTCTGGCTAGGAATCAATCGGGTGTTCATCCACAGTTGCCTGATCCATCCATCCGCACACACAACAGAAGTTAGCCATTTAACTACCACATGGGCGCTTTGAAACAGAAGAGAAAATTACTCTTAAATGTGGCTTCAGTTTCAGCTGTGCTCCAAAGCAGGGCTCATTGCTTGGTAAATTATTCAATTTTCAGGCTCTTCAAGCTATTCCAGTTTGCACACAAGGCAATGCCAATATCAAAGACAGCTGACTCAAGCCTTTAAACCATGGCTGTAGTAATTGGTTTGGCGTAAACCTAAAATAATTACTTTGAAGAACAGAGTTGCACTCAACTAGAAATACATACACGTCAAACCACGTAATAGTGCATTATGAATCATGAAAGTTGTTAGCCACCTTGATTAACACTACATTCACACTAGTGGGGTGTAGCAACCGCTTCTGTTGTCACTTGTCGCTGTTGTTTTTTTTTTTTTTTGTTCCAATGAGCAGCCAAAATGTATTTAAACACAAATGATGTAATGCACAAATGAGTGTGAAAATTGGTTGTTTGAATTCCATGTAACTCCCTTGGATTCTTAGTAGCTTGTAAAAGTGTTAGCAGATTAGCAAAGCAAACTAACTGTACTAGCTTCATACACTCACTAGAGGCACAAACAATCGCTACGACTTCCTTTCAAGATTTAGTTTTCTTGATGATACATATGTAAAGATAAGTCATATGTGACAGGATAACATGAAACAATGATGATAAGTTTTTATCCTTTTTTTTTTTGGACGTAGCTACAAAACGTTTATGTGTCACTTGCTGGTGTGAACGTTGGGTAGTAACCGGATGCAGTCATCATGCACAAGCTTGCTTGTCCTTTTTACACTCTGGCTAAAGTTAAAGTGGACTTGATTTTCAAGGATTTCACTTTTTTTTTGGCTTTCTAAGGCACATTTATTGTGGTGGAAGGTCAAACTCATCAGTTGTTTGCACTCAAACACGCACAAGCACAGGTAGATAAATTCTAGATACCATAAGTACCATAAGTGTTTTTTTTTTCCTGTCCTTGGCAAGGATGCAGTGATATATATGTACACTGTTTTGTAGCCTAATAAATGAAAATTAATGTTAAGAGATTACTGTTCATGCTTGTTCATTCAAGTTTTTTTCATATGATCAGGCTCTAAATGAGGCCTGAAGTGCAAGTAGTGAAAAAATGTTGAAATGCTATTTCTTTGTTGAAATGCTCTTTGTTGAAATACTATACCTCCTTATTTCAGGATACTATGACTTTTAACTTAATACTTCATTATTTCAACTTAATAGCTCATTATTTCAAGTAAATATCTTGTTTTGTTATGGAATGCTGTCAATTTAAGTGTTGACCATATCTAAATGAATTTAAGTGAATTACCAATCATTAGACATACAGTATAAGCCTCAACCCGAAGTCCACAAGCAAAGCGTAGCTTATGTAATATTAGGGAAATACCATAGAGAATAAGAAATGTATTATTTGTGTAAGCTACTATTCAGTAAATTAGTCTTAAGTTGAAATAATGAGATAAAATGTTGAAATGATGTGATCATTTTATATTATGGCATATCTTAAAATAATAAGTTAAAAATGAGATATCTTCAAATAACTGTCTTAATACCATGCAAAAGTTACTAAGTTGAAATACAGAGATGTTAGGTTAAAATACCAACATAATATAATTAAATAACAAAATAACTCAAAATATTGACATCATATCTTGTAATAATGAGATAAATCAAAATAATGACATACTATCTTGAAAAAAATAAGTTATTAAATTGAAATACTGCGATATTAAGACAACATAATACCTTGAAATCACAAGATAACTCAAAACAATTACATAATATCTTGTAATAAGGAGATAAATCTAAATAATGACAAAATATCTTGAAATAATTAGATTAATTAAATATTGACATACTGTATTTTGAAAAAATTAGTCGAAATAACACTAATTTTAACTAAACTAAATGCATTTTACGTGTTGTGTCTCTCAATATGTACAACATTACAACATTAAAGTTTATTTCTTGTAATTACACTAATACACCTGAGTCGTTGAGCAGCTAATAGCAACAAAGCAAAAGCAGCATCATGCTAAGTAAATTACACAAAACTGCTGAGTCATCATGCTGCTACCCAGCTACCACGAGTTGTCTTGGGAATTGTTCCACACCTTCATGAAAGGAAAAAGAAATGCGACAAAGCTCAGTATAATTGCTTCCTGATATTGCTTTCACTTTTGAGTTCTTATCATGGCTTATTAATGCTAATGAGAACTTTTCAACTACTTAATGCTTTTAAAATTTATATTCATAGGCGCATAAATTGGTTATGCTTTCTTCTTGTCTGTAGGCATTTCTAAGATGTGTTCGAGTTTCATAAATGAGGCTGCAGGTCTTTTGTTTAACACACACACACACACACACACACAAACACAGAGAGAGAGAGAGAGAGAGAGAATCATTTTGCTGTATCATTAGAATACAAATGCACATGAAGTTGTAAATGTAGATTCAGGAAAAAAGCTTTTTTTTTTTGGCTTTTTTGGCTAAACCTGGAATATATTAAATATGTTTATATTGAAATATTTCTGATGTGGTTAGTGATTGTGGTGCTAATTTGTTAGATGATGCTGTATTGTTATTCCTGTCAGAAGTTAGCAGTCAGGTGTTGCTCTGATATCAACAACCTCAAACATGAGTGATAACAATCAGGTTTTGCTGTTCACTCTTAAAAACAAAAGAGATCTTTTGACCATTTTCCAGCAGCATTGAATGTCATATCAATGAGAAATTCCAGCATAGAAATGGTGGAAGTGTTGATGCAAACACTGGAATGAAATCTGCAGTGTGCTGAGTTACGGCAGACACTCAGCTAGTTAGCAATCTACTACATGACGAACGCAATGGTGTTGATGGTGCTATTAGTATGAAAGTTGAAGAATTGGAAGCTGATCTGTTTGAGCAGAGCGTACAGATGAGAGGTGAGAGAGCTGGACAGCCTAAAGGACTAAAGTGCTGCTGCATCGCTCTCTTTAAGTAAAGATGAAGCAACAGCTGATGTTGCATTCGAGTAAAGGTCATAACTAGTCATTTCAGACTTATGACTAGGAAAAACCAAAGAAAATGCCTCTTCAACTCGGAATGGTCTCCTTAGCTCTGAGTTCAGCAAGTGACATCAAATGAACATGGCCGTTCACAGTAGCAACAGTAAACCAAGTAGCACCTCTTACCTTTAAATGAGTTATACTGTATATACACGTATCTGCTGTAGATCAATCAACATACAGGAATATTCATTTATGGCATTTGGCAGACACCCTTATCCAGAGCAACTTACATTTATGTTTTGTTTTTTTTAAATACAACTTGAGGGCCCAGCAGTTGCAGAGCTGGGATTTGAACTCACAACCTTCTGAGCAGTAGTCTAACATCTCAACCACTGAGCTACCACTACCCACTATTCACTTGTTAAGTCTATAACACTGACTATACAGTTCACTGTATTGAGGAGTTAGCTGGCTAGCTTATCGCTAACGAAAGACGAAAATGGAGGCACGCATGTTTTTTTTTAAAAACTTTGTAGCCCGAATTCAAAAAGGTTGAAAATGATATAATATCAAGCTCCGACTTCCGAGGTAAGTCAAATGCAGCACAAATCTCATCCACCACTATCAGCAGGACTGTGGGTAATGTAGTGCTGATGAAGGAAGTTTAAACCCACACATGTCATTGATATGATATAAGATTAATATGCAAGTTCTCCAGGGTGGATTCTTCCCTTAACACATTGAGTCACAAAACTTTTCTGAAAACTAGTTAACAGTAACCCACTACTAACCCCCTTTTTTTTTCCTTTTTACCTCAGATGATTTTTACCTTTTATTCCTACTTATGGATCCGCTATTTCTATATGTCCTTTTTCAGAACTGACCATTTCTATTTCAGCTTTTCCGTGTGAAATGATTCTGTCCGTCAGGATAGAAATTGATTATAGGAGGTCAAAGTAATCTCTCTCACTCTATTTATCTTTCTTCCTTGCTGGTCGGACTTTGTTCTGGCACAACGCTTTGATTGGCAGCCTGAACAACAAAGGCTCATCAATGTTATCAGGAAGAAACAGATGCAGAACACACAACTAGCCCACACACACACAGACATACACACACACAAACTCCCAGCATCACACTGGCCTAAATGAAATATATTCACATGTACGCATTTCAAATGGAAACACTATATGTGTCAGAACCACAAATTACTTTTTTTTCAGATATACTGTAGTCTTTGCCATGGATATATATTGCATTAAAAGCTAAATACAGAAAACTACCTTTTTATTTCTGACTTCATATATTAAGTTTTCTTTGTATGGCCTCAGTGTGGGAGCTAAATAAACATGGAATACACCTTATCTTTATTATCTTTTTTTTTAATATAAAGAGTCCAATTGTAAACTTTCTCATCTAATATGTTCCATTTCTGTAATAACAACTTACACAGGGATTTATATAGCAGATGCTCCACATAAATGGATTAAAAATGTGTAATTGTTTTTGTTGTAATATGGTAAACTGTTCTCTGAGGTGACATTAGCATTTTGGAAGGAGTCTCCAGTGTCAGTGATTTGTAGCAGTCAGAGCTAAACCTGGAACTTTGTTTTCTGATATAGGAAAGTCTTCAGGATTATCTTATCGTTATTAATTATTGCTTTGCTATCTTCAAGAGAAAGAAAACACTGGCTAGTGAGGGAATGCCTGCTTATAGATACAATAAAAGTAGTAATGGGAACTAACTTGTTTTGTAGCATTCTACAACATTAAATGTAGCTATAAATGGGTAAAAAAAAATATATGACGTGCCATATTATAATTAACATGGGTTAACACCAACTCAGCATCAAACAGCGCACCACGTCATGTTTTATTCCTTACTCAGAGCCAATTATGATGGAGTATAAAAGCTCTCGAAGGGGATTCCACAGCTGTTTCTGTGCTCATGTCATAATTTTTTACAGCGCACATTATTTTAGCCAACAAAGGTCTCAAAGTACACTTCCCATGCATGTTGGGTGAAAATACGATTAAAGAAAAAAATCTAAGGCTTGTACATTTTAAATGTTGTCAATTTCCAAATTTGCTCAGTTACAGCTTTTTCTGAAATATTACATTAATTCAGTCAAATATAAAACAAGCATCTTTGGCTGTATTATTTGAACCAGTTTTGACCAAGCAGCAAAAACAGTACAAAAACGGTGCAGCTTTTTGGTCCTGGAGGACTGGAATTATTCTGTTATTCAGAACAGCTGTTGAAGTGTAACCTTTCTGAAACCCCATGATGCTTTGCTTTCAGCGATGCACCTCTGAATGATTGACCCTGCGATTCAAGATTCAAGTCCGATTTGAAGTCAGAAAGAAGGGTGCTCTGAAGAGGCTAAAAAAAAAAAAAAAAAAAAAGAGCTAATAATCAACTATGGCGATGAGTTGGAGTCATCAAGAGCGGGTTCTTATCTCTTTAAATCTCTTTAGAGTTTTATTTTAGATGTCAGCTTCTTCCCTTCCTCATTTTTTTCTTTCCTCATCCATATTCCATTCCTCATCCATATTCCATAAAATAAATCACACAATACATTATTAGGTAATGAATAAAACACTTGGTCGTGTGCTGTTATAGGAAAATAATCAATGACAGGGTAGTGTGATGTGGTCCAGCATGAAATGGAGTTAGTGTAGTTGATTATTTTCCAATAACACCACATTCTTGAAGCGTTTTATCCCCTTTATATCACAGAAATTTGACAACGATCATAATGTTTAAACGAATGACATGTCGTGCCTTTTAAACATTTATAGTTACATTAAAAGGGAGATCCTTGTTATCACTTACATTACAATCACCCGACACACAGCGTAAACTCCTCTGTCCTGAAGATTTTCCTGCTGTTACAAAGTGCTAACACTGGAGACTCCTTCCATAAATGTTCCATAAACATCTCTTTTCAGAAAACTTCACCATACCAATAATTATAGATAATTACATATTTATAATATATTAACTGTAATAATTACATCTTCTGACCAGTCAGAATGTAGAGTTTGATAGCACTGTGGTAGAAACTTGTTTAACATCTGGATAAAAAGCATCATAAACATGTTGACCGGGTCAAGTTCTTGGTTCAGAGGCACTTTATTAACTTCCCATCAGAAGTAATCATGAGATTTGTGCATTAAATTTGTGAAGTGGTTCAGGACTCCTGTCCATGTGCCCCAGACCAGGGTCTTACCAGACTTACCAGACTTTCAGAAGGTTGCGCTTACATCTGGTTTAGTCCTGCTGTATTAAACATGTCAGGTTACACACATGAGATGAATAGACTTTCAGAGCTGCTTCACTGCATTCTATCCTCTTTTTTTCCCCCTTTAGCTTCCACTTCACAGTCCGTCTGCGAAAAGCCTAGAGCTGCTTTTCCTGAAGGAAAGACACTAATCACAACGCTTTATGGCTCTGAATCATGTGATTTACCACAGCCCTGACCAAAAATGCTGCAAAAACTCTGACTGGCTGCTTGGCCTAGATAAGCTTTGTGCATGTGTGTGTGTATATGAGAAACACAGACACACACTCACACTTCTTATAAAATAGTGCACTCTGCTGGCTAAACAATAGCCTAAGTAACAGACTACATCTTAAAAATGATGAACAGAAAGAGAATAAAATAACATTTCCATATATTGGATCTCACTTATTTGTAATATAGCTGCTCATTTAATACAGTTCATCTTTTTTTATCTTTCTTTTTTTGATAATCCTGTCATCTTCATCTTCATAATAATGCATTAGGGTTAAACTCGTTGTTGTCCAGCCATAAGGTTTGTGTTTCTCCTGATCTGCTAAATGCATATTTCAATGCAATATCTGCCCACATATATACCATTATACCACAGTGCTAATATATTCTCCACTCTGATTGGTCCGAAGGTGTTAATTCATTTTCTATAACAGCAGCTCGGACAGTAGTTCTGGCTGTAGTTCAAATCAAAGGTTAATATTAATGCATTTGTTCTAATGCATTATTGTTTCTATACTAACAGCTCATTCACAGGGACTCCATATAAACTAAGTGCAATAATAAATGTTATAGGAATATAATCAACTTCCAGGTGGTAATAGGAATTCTACTTCACACTGGGCTGCATCACACCACTCCACTGTTAATTAATTTTCTATAACAGCACACTAGGCTATGTTTTATTCCTTCCCTACACACTTATTCCTATTTGATGAATAAAATTCTTTAGATAGCAGAAAGTCCATTCTTTAGGATTTATGTGTTAGAGGTATAATCAGTGATTCTAAGAAATGAACTGAAGCTAGCTGTTTTAAACTCCAAAGCCACACCACCACCAAAACACATTCACACACTGCATGGGCTAGAAGCCTTGAATTTTAATGCAAGAGACCAAAGTTTCTTTTCTGAACAGATATTTTATTTAAGCTCCCAGAATGTGAAGAAAAAAGAACTAAAAGTATTTTGACTCAACTGTCTCTATCTTTAAATCAGTTATTTAAGGGAAGGAAAAAAAATCTCATTTTGTGCTGCTGTGGTTTGGGCATAGCTGACTTATTTGACTAAATGATCATCTATTTGACTAGATGCTTAGTCACCGCTAATGTCAATGTCACCAACGTTAATTAATGGCCTGTAGACAGGTTTGAAAATAGAATTAGGTTTACCAAAATATGTAAGGAATAATATGGTCAGAAGTGTGTTATTCCACTTATACAGCGATTTGCCAATGATTACAATGTTTAATGGATGGCACGTTGTGCATTTTAATGGTTTATAGTTAAGATTTAATGTTGTGGAATGTCTGAGGGACAAGTTAGTTCTTGTTATGATTTACGTTATAGCTACTATTAACAGCCGTTCCCCACCAGCATCTCTCTCTCTCTCTCTCTCTCTCTCTCTCTCTCAAAAACCCGCAGCTTGTCCTTTTACCGAGAAAACAGACAGAAAGTGTATAGTTCTCTATCCTGAAGTATGACTCCAGATGGGATCTGTATAGTTGGATATAAACAGGTCGGCCATTTTATTAGCTACTAGATCAGTACACTTAATAAACAGCAGCAGTTCCACATCACTGTGTACTCAAAGGTGAATATTGGTGAAGTGAAATGAAATTAATTAAAATTCTCTCTCATGCTTCGGAGTATTCTTTCTTTCCTAGGAATGAAGTATGAAAGTCTGGAACCACTTGTCCTTGCTTGATTTTTGGATTAAAAACAGCTATAGAACATTTAATAATAATAATAATAATAATAATAATAATAATAATAATCGTCATCATTCTCACCACCATTGAGTGAAGACATGCCACACTCCAACTTCCTGTTGCACACCCTTAACCCAGACAAAAGACACTTTTTTTGTTTTTACCATACTAGTGTTAATTCTGT